GTTGGCGGCCGTTGGGGGCAGTTGGTTTCGTCGTTGTCGCGTCCTATTCCCGGGGCTGCGGCATGGAGTTAGCGCTGCAGGGGCGTTAATGGTGTTTGCTCCCCGCGCTATCTCAGTSCTGGGCACCCTGAGATGGCGGGATGGTGCCCTGGTGAAGGACGTGCCACCCAGGGTGCTGGTGGCTCCCATAGGAAGGGGCACTGTGCTGCTCCTTATCACTACTTGGCATCGATTTTTTTTTTTTCCTTACATCATTTTTTACTGCATTTAAAAACCCAATAGCGACAAGATGTATCCATGGCCATAAAACCATGGCCATGGCCAGAGTTTGTTTATCTAGCAGTGCTTGACTTCCTTTGAGTGCCAGGTATCCCCTGAAAGCATATTCATTTCACATTTCATTTTGTTTATTTCACAAAACTGTAAYCTTATATCCAGCTACTTTCCAAGCAGCTTGTCAGTCTCTTCCATGAGGAAAACAAACAAAAAAGGCAAACAAAATAGGTAACCTTCACTAATTAATATCGGTAAGAAATTACTCCATTTTCACGTGTGTTTTGTTCTGGAAAGAAAAGTCCTACAGGGCATCTCAGCTGCAGATGTTGAAATGTTGCCCTGCCAGGTGTGGAAAGCCTGTGCCAGGTAACACATGCAAATGTAAGATGAGTATGAGGATTCTGCGAATTTTAACCTCCTGTGACATATATAGTAGTGCAAAAAGGTTCCCTCCCCCCCCCCCCGCTCCCGCCCCGTGGAAGCATATATTTCTAATAAAAAGATGAACAAGATTACGGAACCCAGTGAATTTTTGTGGTTCTCATTTTTCCTCCTCATCTTGCTGCCTGGCAAGATGGTTAGGACTGTTCGATTAGGGTTAGGATATTTAAAGCCTGCATGACAAGTGCCTTCTTYGGTGAGAAAGTCTTTGGATATCTTCTCGATCCCTAATAAATATTGCAATTTCATTTAATACATTAAAATTATTGGCACTGAAGAAAATAATAATTGATTCTTTCTTCTTTRAACGCGACACATTGCTAGAAACATTGGCCGCAGTTTCATCTTTGTGAGACCCCTCCAGATGGGAAATACAGATTTATCTTTTTTTCACTGTAAAATATATTCACATTCTGCAAGTAGGAATGGAAAGAAGTATTTTTTACCGATRGAAGCTCAGATTGCAGATTTGCATAGTGATATCCAATCTTGGAGCAACCCCACCATCTCTTTCTCCCACGTGAACAGAAATATCCCCCACACCCTCTACTGTCACATCTAGCCAGGCTCTCAGGGATACAGCCTTATTAAATTCATGCCCTTATGCAGTTTCCAGTGGAAATCTACCCACATACATCTCACCATTGCAAAAATAGTGGTGATCTGCGAGTTGACACCATCAAATGCTTTTAGTAAATATGARATATAACAAAAATTCAGCCCTTTTATTTTCTTCTCATCCACCCAGAATGTTTGCTAATAATTCAGTATAACTTCTCTGGAGTAGATAGGCAGAACTAGTTGAGGGGGGTTGTTTTTTACTGCAGGCAGACAGGACTTTGTCCATTTTTCTTTGTTGTCTCATGCCACCAGCATAAGTTGAATTTTAAAAAATCTTTTCATGGCTATGTTATGAATCTGTATAAAATGGCCCTTCAGGACACGGTGTCGAGATGAAGGGTCCGAGTGGACAGAACTGCCCGTGCTGTTGGAGCAGGAGAGCTCTCTAAAGAAACCTGGTGAGACAGGTGCCAGAGAGATGACCCATCTCTACAGATAGGTCTAGATAAAGCCAGAGACACTAAGCAAAGCACTAAAACCAGATTTGAGATACTTCATTTTATCCCTGTTATATAATTGCATATATACATATCCACAGACTTGTGTATGTATTTCCATGYTTGGCAGCTGTTATTGTTAGCATCTTCTGAATGGAGCCCTTTTCATTAGCACAAAACAACTAGAATGTGGAACTAGCTCTTTGCTTAGATTCCTGCCATTTACATTTGGGTTTAGTGGAATTAGGCTTCCTACTCCTTACTCATTTCCTCATTGCTGAAAGCTRCTCTCAGCATTTGTAAAAAAAGTGCCACTTCCAGCATATTTTTATCGATTTGTTTTTGCTAAATGCTTATTCTCTTATCAGTCTAATTTCTGCACTCATATATTGCCCTGAGATTAATTCCTCAACACTTACAGGACTGGCTAAAGCAATGCAGTTGTAATGGGGCAGCAATATTCAAGCACAGATTACAGATTCTGTTGCTAGGCCAAATTTCTATATCCTGTTGAGAATGTGCCCTAGGCATAGAGTCTAAGAATAGCAAAAGCCATGTATGATTAGACTCAGGGGTTGTTTATGTGCAGAAAAATTCATAAACATTTGATTATGTAATATAAAACATGTTATTATAGTAGTTTATTRATTTTGTAAGATTTAGCCCAATGCATATTTTGGTTCAGACTATATCATTTTTTATTATATTTGCATTAGTAGGCAAACAAAAGCATTTGCAAGCATTGAGATTTTAAACTCGGACTATTTATCAGATGACAACACTGAAAAAATTAATTGCAGACTGAGTGTGACCTTGAAGGGGAGTCCAATATCTTCAGTGATCTGCAAACTTACCCGCCAGCTTTGGGGAAATACTGCCTTGGACCGGGAGGCAAAAGTAAAACCCACGCAGGGCTGATGCATCATGACAAAGCTTGTGCACACAAGTACTCAAACAGCCAGTGCTGCCCCCAAGTGCCTTTTATGGACCACAGTTATTTTAGAAAACTCCCTTTTCCAGTGTGACTAAACAACAAGGGAAGCTGCATCCAGGAGAACAAGACTCACTGTTCTCCTTTGATGAAAGT